TGTGGTTTTCCGGGACGATAAGCAAACATTGTTTCTTCTTAATTTTCTAACCAAATGCCTGCAACTCTACGTTATGCTTTAGGTTTTAATGGTTTACCAGTTGGCGGCAATTTGCCGTCATTTCCTTATTCAAATCCATTGTTAGCGATGGGCAACCCATTATTGAATCCACTGATGATGAATCCGAGTACTGCTGCATTAGCTAGTTTTGCAAATGCTGCAGCGAATTCACCACATAGTGGTCCTGCTGCTGCCCTTTCAACATTGGCTGCTGCTTCATCTGCAATGACAACCAGTGCTGCACCGGTTGCCAGGCAATCACCTGCCGTTCAGGTAGCCCATTCACCAAAAGTTAGTTTTTGTTTATGTCTATTCTCACGTATTTAGTTCGAGAAATAATTATCTCTTTGTTGTCACTGTTCTAATATGTACTAAATAGTGTTTCTTTTTCAGGCAAACAATAGCAGTCGTACTACAGTTTCACCAGCTGTAAGACCGGCATCCTCACCTGATGGTCCAGCTGAAGTAAAAGATGGAACCCCACCTGCACAACAGACTGCTTCACAGCATCATTTAACTTCCGCATCATTATCAGCGGCATCACCTTGTAAAAGTCCAGGTGCCTCTAGTTTACCTAAGGTTGGTTTTTTTTTGTCATAATGTGTTTCATTTGTCACCTTACTGATAAATATAATTACATCATTTGTCACCTTACTAATAAATATAATTACAGAAGTATTTGATTACTTTATGCAGCTCCAGGTTTAGTAATGGCTCGATCCTATCAGCAAGGATTCACCTTACAATAGGTAATGCCAATTTATTTCAGTTTCTTGCAGGTGCCGACTATATCGGTTGATTCCTTGGCTTCAGTGGTTCCGGAAGAATCTGCTACCACTCCAGTCAAACTTGATGCGGAATAAGTTGATCTTTAATACTTTCTCACATTTCACTTTAATTAGGTTTGTTGACTAATGAATACGCAACTATGAGACTAATATGTATTCAGCAGTGGTAAAACTGATTAAACCGATGGAAATAGTTTTTTCCTATTAGCATTTGTGAATTTTACTTGCTTTGTTCCATTTTTGAAACGTCATTTGCAAATAAACATAAAAAGCGCAAAGCCTGTATCTCATCTTACCTGTGAAGTTTTTTGTGAAACTCCGCAATTTGGCAGACCTCTTATGGCGTGAGTATTGCCCGTCAAATATCGGCTCCTGCCTTTTTATCTTGTTTTGCTTATGGAAAGGTATTTTTAAATGTTTAAATAGAATCTAGAGACAAAAATCGATTTGCTGCAGCTGCAGTGGTTGAGAGGGTGTTTTTATCTTGTTGTTAGTTGTGTGTGGAAGATCTAAGAAAGCAGTAGTTTATGAAAAGTTATTAGTAGTGACAGTTATTGGTTCAGCGTAATTATATTATGGTATTTAGATTTCGTTCATTATTATAGATAGAACGACGGAATAACTTGGATATACCTCTATGACAGATTTTGGCATGCGGAAGTGATTTGTTTCTTTTACCACTTTTCTTTTCTAGTTGGGTTTGTTTCAAAAAAGAAGATTTTAGGAGCTTGTTGTCAGTAGTTATAAATTGATTTTGTGTGGAATAGTTTCATCATCCAAATAGAAACATTGGTGGTACTGAAAACGAAAGGTCGGTTATAGATTCTTTGACTAATGTGGATACTTGTGCACGTACGTCAGTGTGTATGTCTACTTGTGTGTGTATTTCTTTCGTTTATTTATATCTCGTTTTACCGCAAGTAAAGTTTTCCCATTATTGGTGATATGTGGATGTGTGTGTGTATGTGTGTGGATATATATATATATATATACATATGTAGCATGATGTAAATCAATTATGTTTCATGGTTGCTTTTTAATACAAAGTTCGTTCTCGCCAGTTAATTTTTTACATTGAATATGACCTGTATATAGAGTGGTTTTGACTTCTTGTTACGGTGATTTCCAATTATGATTTCTGTTGCTTTGTCGCATTTATCATGATAACTAGATGTTTTGTGTTTCCGGCAGTTGTTTATTTAAATTTCTTAACATCTTTTATTCTAGTATTACTTCGTCAGTTACTTTATCGATGTATTCCTTAAATGCATTGTTCGTTATTTATTTGGGGATTTATTTTAGGAGATACCTATACCACCTAGTAATATAAAATGGAATCAGACATTTTTTTCTTAACCAAATATTAGAGTTGGTAGGTGAAGTGTATTTTTGTTTCCCGTGGATCCTATCCTCAGTTTTCCAGCCCCCGTATAAAGTGTTCATAGAGAACCGTTTTTTTTTTTTTTTTTTTTTTTTGTTACTAGAGGCAGTGTTATGCATTTTGCAAAAGGGGTGGGATGGATCCTGGTGGTTTTGTTAACATGTCGAAACAGTAAGCATTTCCATTTTCATTTTTGCATGGAAATACCTTTGTTAAGGGTTGGATGTGGTATTGTTGTCCATTCCAGAGTACTATGTTTGACAAACTTTTGGTCTCCTAATTTGTCGTGAAATGAGTAAATATATTCTTTTAAATGGTCTTATTGTTTCGTCCACTGGTACATGTGAGCTGAAATCATGTAAACTGCTTTCTGCAACGATTGCAATGCGACCTTTTCGGACCGGTTTCCTTTCAATCTTCGAGGAAGGGGCACCCAGACCTATTGTTGACAATATTCGTCTTTGTTTTCACTCAGAAAGGTTCAGTTTTGGAGGGTGTTTAGGTGGAGCTGATCGTGTATATTTCGAAACTTGAAAGGAAGGTAAGGCTTAGTTGTTGTGCAACGTGAGAAATTACTGGGTAGTTTTTTACCCAGCAGTCTTAGTCTTTCTGCATTTCTTTATTGGGATGTGAGACGAGGGCGTCGCGAATGTTAGATGTTAAGCTGTGGAGAAAAGGAATTGTTTGTTATGGGGACATTGATCTTGGATTCTAAAAATTGGTGTCCGATACATCTCCCTTGTAGTCTTCAAGTACCTATTATTCTCAAGTATTATTTATCTTGATCCACCATCTGCTGCTTGGGCTTTCGATATACTGTCCAGCGTAGCTTCCGTATCCGAATAGTTCTGAGTACCCTGCATTTGACCAGTTGACAAATGTCAAATTTTGTTTTCTAAAATAAGCTTTAATATAAGAGTATGAAGTTAGTCTTTTATATTCATATATATGGGCTCATTTTAATTCATTTACAAAAAAAAAAAAAAAAAAAAAAAAAAAACGAAAGAAAACAGGAACTATCCCTTTCTTATCAATTTTCACAGACTGTATTTGAAGATTCTCATTTGTTGCTTATCCAACTTTAATTCCAAACTTCTTTATATATATATATATATATATATATATATATATATATATATATATATATATGTAAAAAGTGGTTATAAATTCTTTTTTGTGGTTATAGATATTTATTTGATTCACTTCTTTCCGAATATTTCGCAGTTCACTTCATTCCTCACTTCAAACGTTGTTGTTCTGATCAAAAAAAAAACGAAATATCGATTCAGTTGATGTCAGTTTTATATATAGTTTATGCATGTGACTGCTTAACCAGTTTAATATGTTTCGTTGTAATAATATGATGTATTATGTAGTTTATCCCTCATTTTGAATAAACGATAGTGGGCCATGTCATAAGACAGGAGTATTTTATGATACAAAATAAGATATGTTGGTAAGTCAATGATTTTGAGAAGTGTTACTTTGATAGCTTAAGATTAATAAAAAGGCAGCGACATGGATTCTATTTATTATATATAAATTTTCAAAATAATTTCCCATACATACCATTATGTTAATGCTTTTCAAATGGTTTTTGAAATTAATAAGCTGCGATTTATATGAAGCAAAATGCAGGTGGATCAATATCTATAACATTTTCTTTTTGCTTCTTTGAGATAATGCTAAAGTTTAGTTTTTGTCCCTTGAGCCAAAGCGCTATGTGAGTGCAATGAAAGTGGCAATACTGACCCAACAAAGTTTGAAATATATATAGTCTAGATTGAATATATGTAAAGTTGTTTCTGGAAAATCCAAGAGGAATATCTGTATTTACTAACATGATGGATGAAGGTGTCATTGGAAGCATATGGATAATGAGTGGGTGTGCAGTAATGTATAATTTGTGTTAAATCGGTGTTTGCACAACTTACACTTGCTACCACGACAAATTCAACAAACTGAGTAATAACTCCATCTCCTCTGTCGCTGGTATTGTAATGATTGCATCCGTTGTTTTTCACAAACATTTCATCATTCTTACAAGTGCTACAGTGTTGGTAAGGAGTATTCTAAATTTCTAGATTTTTTCCTACATTTGTTTAACGTCGGGACTTTTATTTGTGATAAAAAAGAACTTATAATCAAGAATTATCTGTGGGTTCATGTACTACTTTAGCTATCTATTTATGAAAGTTTTCCTTGAGGAAAAGTTTTAAAAGTCGTGTTAGAAGACGTTTCAGTGGATATGAAATTTATTATTCACTGGAAATGCGGCATATATACTTTTATCCTGCTGCTTGTGCATTGCAAGATATTTGCCAGTTTTTAATGTTTGTCCAACTCGAACATCTTTACTATGTCTGTTCTACCCAATCTCTACTACCTTTGTTTCTCATTGCTTTCTTTTAACATTCCTTTCCACACTCCTTAACGAATAATCAGCATTTCATATAATCCTAACAAATTCTAGCTATGCTAGAATTATAGTACGAACCTAATTATGGTACGAACATTATTATTTCTTTAAAAAGGGAAATACAACAGTTTCCTTCTAAAAAAAACGGCTTTGAAAAACCGATTAGAAGGACTGGAGTGACAAAAGAGGAGAAATTGTCCTGTTTTGTTTATCTGGTCATATTCAGTATTCCCTTATTAATTACATTGCCAGTTATTTTTTTGATTGTACTTTGTATAAATTGAATAAAAATGATTAAAAATGAAATCAGCTACTGTCCTGCAGTGTTCATAATTATTGATTGGAATTGTTCATGGCTCAAGTACATTCATCGCCGTGGTCCAGATGGGATGCACCGGGTTAGCCTCTAATTCACAATTTGATAATTATGACACATACCGATATTTTTATCCGATAACCAAATATACTTTGAATGGTTTTTCCTTTTTAACTTCTTTCTTTGCCTTAGATTTTGTGTTTGCAATGAAATCTGTAATTGAGCAAACTCTAAGCAAATAAGTGGGTTGGTGCATCCTTTTTCTCCTTTTGATTATTTGTAAAAATAACCATTTTCTTTACGAACAGATAGCTGTTTAACTCACATCCTGTCTATATTTGTCCAGAAAATTTTATGAATAGTTTTAGGTTATCTGTATGTGTCAAATAAAACCAAGCAACCATTTCCGTTACAGTACGATACTGGATTTGAAAATTCTGGACTACAGTTTGGAAATGAAGCACGACTAAGGTTAATAGGAGCCAACAGACTCCTTGACCAAAAGGCAGATCGTAAGTTAATTAAATAACTAAGCAGTGAAATTGCAGTTATGAGAAGTGTATGGTTAGTTGTATTGAAAAATAGTTTTTTGGAAACGTAACTTTATTCATTTCATAGAGTTGTAAAGCAACCAGTTATTCTGAGAATGAACTAATTAAGTGATGAAATTAATCAATTTAAATGAGCTATTTCTGACATCGGTGAGCTATAATTTTGATGAGGTTTTCTCTCTTCATTTATGATGACCTATTGACATTCATTGTTCTATTTACATTATTCTACCATGCTATCTGTCGTCATGATGGAAAGCATATTGTGATTTATGAGACAGTATTTGTAATACACATTATGCATGCAGTAATTGTTGCAATTTTTTTCTTTTCATTTGCTTCCACGGATTTGAGATATTGGCTAAATTGGAATTTAGAACTTTTTATAGCTAATAATTTGCAGCAAATGATGCAAATTTCATTGACTGTATATATGGAATGGAAAATTCTCCAGTTCGTGTCGTCAAACGATGTCTGGCAAATGTTGGATGTTGTGAAACAGCGTGCTGTAGAAATCCTTCATGGTTAATTTTCTATGTAGTTAAAATAAAACTACAGTTTCTATCCCGATTAATAGGCTTTTTTAACTTGCCAAATGGATTTCAATCTTCTCTAACTTTCCCTGTTTTTAAAATCCTACGAGAGAGAGGTCATCAAAAAAAAAAAAAATTAAGGAACCATTTTACAGGCAAGGAAAGTACGCTTGGGCAATTGCACTCCTTTCTCTGTTTTGTGCTCTTGTTCTTCTTTCTTTGTTCGCAACATTATTTTGCTGGTTGTATAATCGTGCCAGAGATAAGCGTCAAAAACGATGCATTAACCAATCATTGGATGGGATGAGTCCAGCCATATCACAAGTTCGTTTTATACATAAGTTTTTCTTAAATTTTCCAGAAGGAACTGTGATGTGTAGGATTTATTCATTTGAATTCAATTTCATATAAAATAATGGTAATCTGAAATTAAGTTTGAAATCTGCTTCTTCGAGTTAATTTGTAGGCAAATCTAACTACATTGGAAAATCGAAATGAAAGTGGTTATTATCCGTATGTTGGTGGACCTAATCAATACTGAGACTTGAAAAACTCTTCTTCAACCCGCGGGATGAGACAGGGATGCATGTTGAAAAATCATCCTTTTTACTAGTTTAAAATGTTACAAATTTTTTTAATCACTTTATTTTTATTGAAAGTTTTCTCCAGTTTTAATGTTACCAGAAGAAAAAACTCCAGGGTTTTAAATAACTCCATGAAGACCTTACTAGGTGCACTCTGTAGACCAATATTGGTAACAAATTGAATGTGTTACCTTTGTTCTGTTTGCTTTTGATAAAGGATCATGACATAAAACCGTAAACTTTATTGTCTTTACTTTGCATTTATTCTTAAAAATTCAGGATTTGAATCCAAAAATAACCGGATATTCATGATGCTGTTTGGCTAGTAAGTTATTTAGCCACCTGATACTTAAAGGTGAATATTGTCAAGATCAAAATTAGCTTTCTCCGCTATCTTACGGAATATTCATTTTTGTATTTTCTGGAACATGATATACAACGATATATATTAATTTCGTTGGGAAGGAGATATCCAACGAAGGAAAAGGTGAGGTAATTTTTGATATTATAACTGCTAGAAAGCATATATTAGAACAGATAGGTTGATACCTATGCGTTACCAATTCTTTAATCGATTTTGATCACAAAAATATCAATTGCAGAAAGTCTGAGGTCAGTTATATGTTGCATACACCAAGTTTACTCATTTTATATTGAATAAAGAAGTTTATGAAAAATAATGACCAGCATTTCAACTGAGATGGATTTCAGACCCATGCTGTTATGATAAGCTTTAATTTTTAGACTGGAAATTTGTAGATTAAATAAATATATGCTTGGAAAAGATAACATTGCTATATTATGTTTACCGGTGTAGATTCCGGTTATATGTGCCGAACAATTAATTGAACGTTTCTAGATGGAATTTTCTTCTTGTTATTTACTAAAATAATCTCAAGAAATTGTAATAATAATTAGGCTAAATCTAAATCATTAGAAAAAAAAATCATTTGCTGTACCTGCTCTTCATTATGACTATGCATGGATTGCACATGGAACTCCGGTGGGACTTTGCATATATTAATAATGGATTTAACCCACACTTCTTACATAATCTATTTGCCACTTTCAGTGTTCCTCGCTATTGTTTTAAGGTTATTTATTGGTTGTTTTTTGCTTTCAGCTTCCGATAGTATTTTTTACCTAACTATACGGATTATTCTTGCATTGCGATAAGGTCAAATTGAATTATTTGTACGAGAAAATTTATTGTAATGAACTGTTAGACATCAACAATATTATGCGTCAAAAAATTATACAAGGATAAAATACATAAGAGAGTGACTTAAGTGTGAAATGGAACTCATTTTGTCAGCTGTTCAAGTTGGGAGAACTAAATTGTTGAGATGAGGTAACTAAGTAGCAACCAGCAAACTGGTTACTTTGGAACTGGGAAAATTTTCTTCCGTGTATTTTCCTAGATTCTAACATTGAAGAAAATGAAACAATTGAATATTAATTATACAATAGAGTATGTTCAAACAATACTGGTCGCAAATTCAGTTGAATCCATAATACGATTTGTTTGTCCACTAAGACGAGCATTTTCTGCAGATTCATTACTAGATGTTAAACTGTAATTAGCTGAATCATCTTGACGTGAACCGCCAATGCTAGCCTTAATTTGATATCGTGTCGACGTACTCCCACTAACAATTGTGGTGCGCGATGATTTTGGTTGCTGTTGAGCTCTCAACGTTCGATCTCGATCACTGTCTCCCAGATGTGATGTACCGTACTCAGAACCCAAATTACCGTGAAGATTAATAGTACCAGTTGTGCGGCTACTTACAAATCGTCCTCCGCTATAAATATTTCGTGAATTGGGCGATCCTGGCGTAGGTGCTTGTTGTGACGAACAGTTACTTGCACTGCCTTGACTAGTTAGTGTCGATGTGGGAGTGCAACACTGTTCCTGCTGAATTGTCGATGAAATCTGGAAATCTTCATGCTAAGATAAACTAATGTCACATTTGCTGAAATGAAATAATAATTCATTCATTCAGTCAGTGTGCCGTACCACTTTTTCAGGTGTAAAAAAAGATTTGCTTACAGTAAGCAATGCAAGTAGTGTTGTGGAACAAAATTTATCTTTGTCATCACATCAAACTTGTATTCAAAAACATTAGAAGCACACGAGCAGAACGTTAGAAGCATTCCTTTCATATTTTCAGGTAAATAATTGGAAAAATTCAAACTTCATTTGTTTATATTGTAGCATGAGAAGTTTGCATATTCATATTAGTATCAGATTACTATTTCAAAACGAAGTTATTAGTTGCATTTGTGAGAGAGAAAAAAAAAAGAAAAAAAGATATAGTAAAATAACAAACGAATCCTCAAAACGTAGCAACTCACGCCCATATGTACATAATCTTACTTTAAATATAAAAAACCTAAAAAAGAACAAGTACTACAGTAGTTGTGGTTATGAGACATTCCTCTTTGAAGGTATTCGATTTCATAAATTCTGACATAAAGTTATACGACTTTGTTGTATAGCTTTTAAATTATTATGTAAATTCTAACCAAAAAAAAAATGGACGCATATACTTACACTCATTCCTTTTGAAGCAATAATGGCTTAGAATTCCAATGGAATGACTTCTGTGGAAACAAATAAACGAACCTTATCATATGATGAGGGACACCAGTCCACTGCCTGAGAGCTCTGTGAAATTTGTCGCTGTTGTGACCAGTTTCCATAGATACATCCAGCACCACAGTTCTGTTGCTGTTGTTTGATATGCGAATCAACAGCAGGAATAACACTATTGAATGATGATAATTTTAGGTTGGGAGCTCTTTGATACGGCGAATGTTCCCTGGAAACTTTTTATGGCTTTTACCATGGTTTTAGATATGAACTCTTGGTATACAATTATAATTATTCAGAGATTTAAAAAGAGATTCCATTACTTTTTAATTAAACAGTTGATAGAGTGGAAGGGTTCAAAAAAAACTGCCAACCTGCTGGAAATAGATGTGCGTGTACCTAAACGATTTTCAGCGACGGGACTACTTCGGATTGAAAGCACTGAAGAAGTTGGCCCACTCTCCAACACATTCTGCGATGTATTAGTCTGAAATGATATAGCTAAAACTGGGCTAAGAGTTAGGTCTCATTTCTGTATTTTTTTTTTGGAAATGTATAGTCCAAATTTAAAACTGAAGAAAGAACCTGTGTTCTGTTATAAACAGTGTCCTTATTTCGACTCACTTGAGCTACTTGAGCAGCTTGAACAGCAGCTTGTTGTATTAATCGCTGATTCTAAAAAGCATGAGTCTAACTCCTAAAACATTATTCATATCACTCAAAAGAATGAAAACGTCTATAATTTTCAGATAATCAAAACTACCAACTTGTTACTTCTGGAAGATGACACAATTACATGGTACTAAAAAAAATAAAGAAAATTCATTTTGAACCTGAGGTCGACCATAAGTCGTATGTGTTCCATATGAAACACTCACATTTCCAAACCCAGTGTTAACTGCTCCGTCATCTTTGGAACCACGTCTTCGTGTTATTGTTTCTGTTTGTCCAGTCCGGCTTTTGAGAATTGAAGCATATGCTTCCTGTTGCTAAACAATGATTCCGCTGTAAGGAGAAACTACAAAACAGCTTGGAAAAAAAGTTTTGTCTGGGGAAAATCTGTTTTGAAACTGTCTACCGTCAAATTATGACAAAGCAGTACTATACTTCAAACTCCATGAAGCAAAATGTAGCAAGAACTATACGTATCTTTTAGATTTTGATAATTCCATTACCTCCCCTATTTCATTATTTATAAAAAGTTGAAAAGAAAGTTTATGTTCACCGTCAAAGGTGTGATATCAGAAGTATTGTTTTCAGTGCATGCGCTCATCGAATTTTGTAGGGATGGTCTTCGGGGATTTTGCATCATTTGCCGACTGCTACCGGATGCAAACTCCGATCCTTGAGCTCGCTAAAAAATTGAAAAGAGCGACTTCAGGGCAGTTTTTAGGAAAATCAGAATCAAGAAACCCAAAATTTCAATTTGAATCTTTAAGGAAAAAATCAAAGTAAACTTGCAAATGTGGAAAGCTCCAAAATTTCTACCAAAACCGACGTGCATAAATTTACAAACCTGGAATGTTGCAAACGTATTCCCGGGCATTGTTACATTTGCTGAAACTTTTGCCTCACTGGAATATTTGGGAATATTCATTATAATCCGCTGTCGCGATGGATACGTCATTTGTGATTGTATGGTATGAGAAATCTGCATATTAATGTAGAAAAGATTAAAATACCAATTCCTAAATTAACTTAAAGATTGGAATTAGAAAATTTTCTTTTACTAGTACTGTAGCATCGAAATTTTTATAGTAAGAAATGAACAAAATTTCGTCAACATGCCGTATGGTAAGCAGCAGTGGGTGATGAGTTTCCGTCGCTACTTTGCCGATGAACTGCAGATGGACCAAGCAGCCGATTCATTTCCAATGTTTCTTTTACACTTTCACATTGTGGAACTCTTCTGAAGAAGCACAGCATGAAAATCATAGAAATATCGTAAACAAAACAGTCAGTAGGTGGCCAAGTAAGTACGACTAAGTCATTTAAGTAAATAAGGAGAGGGAAAATTACAATAGCGAAGCACCAAAGAACCTCGTTGTGGGTGACTGCGTATTATTTCCTTTCAACCAGTAAATATCTTCGCTTGCAGTGCCAATCACGTTTTTCTGTGTTTGTCGTAATAATGACTTTTTAGCTATGGTATCATCCGTAAGATACATCTGGAATTCTAAGTGCGATAAAACATCATTTTTGCATTTAACACCCTCATCGACTTCAAATATCAAAATGCATGGAAGTTTGGAAACGAAGAAAATTAGTATTTCAGTAATAAAATTGAAACTTTTCATTAAGAAAACTTAAAAAATCAGAACCTACCTGGTCACCATGCATTAATATCAATGAATTTTTTAATTCAGATGGTTTCTTTTCCATGATTTTTTTGGGCGAAGCAATCATCGTTTGAGGCCCATTCTGCAACTTTTAATCAGAAAAGTTGTTCACAACACTTTCTTGTCATTCAATTAAAAAATAACACAATTAAGTTTCATCAAGTTACAAATCATGAGTTTGCTGGAAAATGGAAAAATTTTTATTATCTGTTCATCTTTAAATAATCATAAAACTTTTTGTAACGGACATTACCGTGTCTTCATCAGATATTATTACAACCAAAGCATAAATAAACTTAGGTTATTTATTACTTGCAAAGCAATAATTTCATGCACTTGATGAACAACTTTGAAATTCCAATCTCTTTTAAGTGTAAGTATAAGCCAGAGAATAATCCAAGCAAAGAGGAAAACAATATCAACAACGATACAAGATAACAATAACGCCTTTTCCTCATGCTGAAAATAAAATTCTTAGTTGATGACCTTTATTCCTATAGTAGCTTCCTCCTATAATTTTTCCTCATCCTAAATAAATGCAGCTTAAAATCCTGAATGAACAAGTTACTGAAGTTGTGTGAATCTAAAACACTTTTCACAATAATTAAAATTTAATAAAATGCTCCATAGGCAATAAACTATAGAACATTTTCTCTTCGTTTTTTTCTCACTCACTCTTCATATCTCATTTTCTTTACAGTAAAAAAAAAACCATTCAACCGAAGCATGCGATTATATAGTGAGATCTGTGAAAAAATACATAAGTAGATTACCTGATAGATAACCATATGGGCATATATAGTTGGAGCTTTGGTTATAACAATTAAAACAAGCAAAATTATTGCAAATATGTGAGGTGCATATCTAAATGATTTAAATCACTGACTTCAAGTACTTCAAAAAGGAATTCGAATTTTAGAGAAGTGTTTCACTGCAGAAATTGCCAGTAAAAGTTCATAATTTTTCTATAAGTATTATCTACATTGCAAAAACATGTCAAAACATACCCATCACAACATAGTCTCGCTTGTGGCACCTTGGATGAGCTTCGGAGACGATATTCTGAATACTCACTCTGCGCACCATTAATACTGCTAGTCTGATTTTGAAAGGCACTCTTTTGCCGCACATTTGACATACTTATCTGATAAAAATAATATATTTTCAGGGGCTTAGTCTCCAATGAAGGACTTTGATTTTTAAATTGTCAAAGATCTTAAAAAAAAAAGGAAATTCAGAGGCAACTTACAAAATATTTGCTGTAACCATACATATACAATGCAACAGGTGCAGTACTAATAAGCACAATCGTCATAACATAGGTGGCAATAATTGTGGATGGATGATAAATTTTTAAGGGACGTGAAGAAATCAAATATTGCCCTAAACCAGGTGACCTAACTAATTTGATAGTTATAATGAGATTTGAAATGAAAAGAAAATTTGAAAACAGGAGTCACTCCAACATTTAATGCCAAATAAAAATTTAATGAGAAACGATCACAATAAATCATTAAAAAAAAAAAATAAATAAATACATAAATAATTTGACATACCGAGACCGATCGGTCGGATACTAGAGTAGCTTGTTTCTTGTATACGATGAAGAACACTAAACCCGAGATAAGACCAAATGATTGTCGTCGAGTAAATCAATAAATGAAGAGAAAATATAAAACTAAATGGCTTGTTGGTATGCCAGAAAACTGCTGAATAAGTACACGTGTAGACGAATAGTGCAATCAGTAAATTGACGAATTCCAATGGTATGCCAAACAAACGAGCATGCATCAATACTGAATATTTTTATCATGTTGTCTTCTGAATTCTTATCAAATGATATCAGGTGAGATAGCTATCATTTAGACCATCTAACCCCATAATTTTTTTAGCTCTGGAGATAGTAGTAAAATCGAATTTTACTTGGTAATAAATTAGGACTGATTGGTGTAGCAGCCAAATCCTGTGCCGATATACGAAAACCCTGCAATCGATTATCGAGCATAGGCAGATTTGCCGCCAGTTGTCGAGCGCGCTGATACACGAAATCGAGTTCTGTGTTCAAAAAATCACCTGTAATTTTTGAAAGACATGATTATCAAGCAAAGTACTAATGTTGTGAAGCTCGTTAGTAATTTGAAAAGACTGAAAAAAATTTGATAATTCAAGTTATTTCGAAATTCAGAATTAGCGCCTACATTTAGTAAAGAGGAATATTAATTTTCGATCTCAAGATTGCCACTTAGTTCTGATGTTAGCAGACTAAATCTTTTATTTTTTAACATTTACCAAAGTCTTAGCAAACAACTGGAATGATAGAGCTCTTACTCCGAACAATTTCCAGCATTAATTAATAAAAGTATTCTGAAGCTTTTCAGAGGATTCGTGACGTCGCTCAGCTATGAAAGCGAAAGGAAGTGCAGAAATGGATCAGATGAACTATAATATCAATGCCCACTATATTTTCATGCTATGTACTTTTTATCAATTTTAAACTTGATATCAGAATTGAATGAAAGAGGTTATTAATACTGATCTCGTCGGTTAGATATATACTTAGTAATATTTATTGACCAATTTTAAAGTCAAAATGTTAAAAATATCAATTAACAACATGAAAAGCAGTCCGTATCATGTTACACCTACTTGTAATCGAATGCTTTATTTGGACAATTGACTTAGAAGATTAGAATGTTATGAAATTGCACTAATTTCAAATTCCTCCAAATATTGTCGTATTATTTTTCCTAATTTGTATATTACCAAAATTTTCCTATTTGCAACTGGTCAAGTAATTATTCTATCGATTCTGATAATGACTATATTCACAAACATTCGCTTGTGTTTGTAAGTGGTACCCAGTCAAATGAAAAAAAGACGTAAAATGAAGGAACGTCAATAAAGTACGGGAAGAGAAGCAATATCGAGTATTTCTAAGTTTTTTAAGTCGCATTCTCGACACTATTTTTTCCTTCAACTTCATGCGTCGTCTTTCGCTAGGCTTCTTTATCAAAAAAAAAAAAAAAAAAAAAAATGCGTTTTTGTGATAACACTGGCTATTTCACTATGTTTGCCGAAATCAAAAGGCGTTTGGCACTACCTGGTATGGGATATCTTTCATGTATATAAGGACATCAACGTATGAGGCATACTCAAATAACCAAATATATTCACCCATTAACACACACGTCACATATATATGTATAGAAAAGGATAAACTTAAAAAGTTGAAAATTCGGATCTTTGCATAATTACAATCGTTTAAAAATGGGCCAATTCTTTTTCCTTTTTTTCTCTAAAATGATTTCCCTAATATGGATTTAAAAAAATATCAGTTGTGTATGGTGCTAGAAGAGAAAACAAGTTTAGGTTTCAAAACTAAAAGGCAGTAATAATTTTACCGGAATTGATGAAGCCGTATCGATAAAGTTGTGATAACATCACTTGTTGGGCAAATAATTGAAAAAGCGCCATCGATAGATGAATAAGTTGTGGCAACGGTGGTGCATGCTGCCACAGTGACTTGATGCATCGCAAAAGTGAGCATCTTCCTGCAATACAGTAAACAAAGGTTAGATCCAATTCAATACTTTTGAACTGTAAAAATTCGACATAAAACAGTATAAAACTTTTTTTTAGCATTTTTTTTTTCTCAGCGTTGATTAGCATGGAACCTTTTCTATATGAATTCCGAGTAATTTCAATAACACGATCAATTCGAGCACCAAGTCGATCGTTATCGCCAGCAACATTGCCAGATTTGAATATTCCAAATGCCATAAACAATAGTAAACCAGGTATGCATGAGGAATACAGTACAACATAAACACTTAACCATAGGCTCGGATAGGCACCATGAGGCCATTTCATTTCCGAATATAACCGGTAACGTTCGAAACCAAGATAAATTAAGTAAGTCTGTAGAAGTACCATTACTATAGTGTACCATATAGACCAAAGTTGGTTTACACGGGCTCGAAATGAACACGGCATTGTAGATTATGTGGAAGCAACAGTTAAAGATGGCGCAATAAAGCTTTCAACTGATAATGATTTCAATCATTTCTTTTGGTTGTAACGAAATTTTCATCACTTTTTCTCATTCGACTGTAATACTGGAAAATGACTGCAGTAAGCATACTATCGAGTCCTTCATATAATTTGAAGTTTCATTCATTTCATTTCAAATTCCATAGTGTTATTTTCCAGAAGCAATTAATGGATGACAGTATTCACATATGTTAACACCAGAAATCAATTGTGTTCAACAAATACAGTATATTAGAGCGTTTCAGCAAATTATAATTAGTCATTACTTTTAAATTAATTCACTCAAGTAATCTGAAAATTTGTCGCATAATTATTAACAATCCACGAATAATTATTAGACATGATTTCGCAGGAAACAAGGTGGAAAGAAGGGAAACAATGATGAACTTGTGTTTCAACATAACATTAATAGACTCTGAAAAGAAAAGTAGAAATAAAGCAGTGTACGACAGTCGTTTGTTTTTCTTGATGACAGTGAATGCTTCAAATATGCCAATTCACTCATTTTAGTGAATTTTTAAACTGGACTAATTTCGGTTCATGTAAATCAGAAAAAGGAAGACAAACGAATGAAGCATAATGATTAATTATTTATTGGAAACTATGAAAATTTAATTAAAGGTAAGAATGACTGTTACAACTGAAAAATGAAACAATAAGTATGACAATCAGAAAAAAAGAAGATGGAAATAAGGGGAACGCACTGAGTGACTGATAAGCCTTGCAAAATAATATAGACAAGTAGAAAAATGAAAGCAAAGTAATGAAGAATTTGCAGTTTGCGAAGTAACAAAATTGAGTGTGAAGAAGAACATACATGTTTGAAAAGGAAACTTTCAACTGAAACAGGCGAAATGCCAATAAGCATAGACGAAATGGGAAGAAAACATTTGTGTTTTTGCGAGAGTGAAGTGACCATAGCGCTGCCCTGCTGCTAACACAAACAGCTTGCTGCATGAGATTACAGCTGAGGGAGAATGAGGATCGAGATGTCCGAGAAAGAAGAGTGTGCTGAGTTGAAGCTGCCGCCACTGCCACTTCTCGTTGGCAGAAGCGCCTGTCGTTGAGAAGCGCCTGTCCTTAGGGTCGACACCCAACGGTCCGTCCCGTCCCATTCCTCATCCTCAATTCCACTCTACACACTCTGCTCGTCAACCATTCCGAATGCATATTGAAATTCAACATAGTATACGCGAGCGAGTGCATAGTATTTACTGCTACCACCACTGGTGTTCCTTATTATCTGCTCTTTTGGGAACTAGTGATGCCGACAGGGTGGAGTGGACATTTGGTTGTCCGCTGTCCCTTGGTAGCGATCAGCCCTTGGTTATGCTGTAAATGAAGAACATTGCTGAACCCTTCTACAAACTGTACTCCTCCTAATTCCATATACTGAAAGGAGATATGATAGTAGTAATCAATGATGACATGTGAACAAGAATGTAAAGGACATAAATGTATTTTGTGGACAACGCAGATAATTAATATCTATCTGCACTCAATTTCTCGAGCGACCATTAACAAACTTCACGCTAATAGCAAGCAAGAATGTTGCAAATTGTACCGATTTATCTTCTTACGCAAATTCTTTCTTCATAATGATAGAACGTACATCGAACGTAGTCTTCTGTCCCATATATAATACTGATAGCTTCAAGTGTTAAACATTAACCAATATTGCGCTTGATTTAATTCCACACAATTTAGCTTTGATATTCCCGCAAATTAATAAAGCTTCTAAGTTGAATTTCTTGGGGAATCGAATTTTCCGATGTTAGTTAAAACGGCGAAGTACTAGCTGTTCTTTAAGATATATTAAAAAATGATTCATTATGGAGCACAAATTTGAGATGTTTGATTAGCGTCCATTAGATATTTGAGAAAAAACAATTCATAAAATATTAAATTTGCTTCTAATTTTTTCTTTTTTTTTAAAGAAATAGATAAGAGTATCACGCAAGTCAAAGCTACCAAATAGCTCAGTGATCTAATCATGGAAAGAGAAAAAGCATTTGGAGATTTAAGTAAGAAAGAAAAAGCACAAGAAACTTGGAAACTTTAGTTTTTTAAAAAAAATTTATGATATTGTCGGAACAATCAGCTGAAAGAGAAAACCCATAAAATGTTTAGTACCGAATTTTGAATAGCACTTAACTGATACTAAACCGTTAGATTGCAGTAGAAAATGAAGGCAAACAAGTAATGAAAAAATCGTAAACAAATCGGTAAATAAGAATTGCCAGGATAGAATCACAAAGCAAAACAATTCTTTTCAATCTTGCATTCCAACTTTTAATTCTGATTATCAACATATCAAAAATGAAATGATAGATGAAACTAACACACATTAACGAATAGCATTCGTAGTAAAACGATGTTTCAACATAAACCCTATCTTTCTTGGTAGACTTACATTTTATGCTAAACCCATCGAAAACAGTTGGCAAAGCTGTCTGCATACAAGGTAGAACAAATTCACAGCAATTTTCCCATGAAATAAAAAATTGTGATCGGGTAAATGGAAACATTTTCACATTTGGAAACGATTTATTTTCTATGTCCATACTTAGCGTCGTTGTTGTTATTGTTTAGAATACCCGACTCATTTATCCACACACCTTGCATCAGCATATAAACTTCAATTTTAGTAATCGATCCCATGCCATAATACTGTATTGAAATACTTAAATCAAACTGCTGATGAGGAAATACTGCCCTAGTGCTCAACAGTACTGTCATCATTATCGCTTTCATATAAATCTTGAAAATAAGAGGATTTTTCTTGATTCATGCCTTCACTTTGAAGATCTTTTTTACTTGCTTTCTTATTGGAAAATAATTGACAATGGTGGTTGTATGCTCGTATATATGCTTTTAGGCGTCAGTTATTTCAAATAATTCCTTTGAGGTATCAATAGCATAAGAGAAGTAAAGACTTATTTCACCTCATTTTTTTCATATATATATATAAGTGAAAGTTTTCTCACTTCATTACCAAGCAGTTTTTTTTTTTTTTTTTTTTCTTTTTAAAATATATTTTCGACAATTGTGCATATCGATTCATTCCATTTAGCTCAATTAGGCTAATTATATAAATCAGGTCCTCACACCGTACTGTCAAAATAATTGTGAGCCAAACTTCAAATTGTTGGTAAAAAAAAGTGGTTGAAATGGCTAATAAAAAAATAAGTGTCACTTCTAAGGAGTTTTAGAATTAGGAAGTTATGACCAATTAAAACCCGAAAAACTTCTTTCACTAGATTGATTTTCATTTGCATGCAATATCAATTAAAAAAATGATAGTTAATGACTATTGTAACCTATTTTTTTGATACATCTAAATTAGTAAGTAATATTTCATCAATATTTTATTCCTGTAAAATTGGATTATTCTTTCTAAATGCTGTTTAAAAGAAGAAATTATGCGTTAAACAAATGGAAAATTGATTCACAGAGGTCTTTCATTCATTCTTTTTTCCATTCAGTGTGTTGTATCATTTTTAGTTTCGTATCATAACTACAAAACCAATAGCCCATGATACTGAACAAATAATGAATCTGATTCGTTCTCACCATTTCTTATCATTTCTTATCCACTAAAGCATTCATTCAGAAAGACTGCTTTATTGGGGAAGAACGCTATGTTAAATTTTTATTTATACTACATATTTGTTGACGAATTTTTTGTGAAATTTATTGGGTGATCCATTTCTGAAAACTTATTTTTAATCAGCTTTGGAATGTGTTTTTCGTAATGAAATTGAAAAGGGAATGACTTGTAGTTTGCATTTTGCTCTTGATGACTTGCCAATCGTCAATGGAAATAGGTAGCTAAGGTAAGAAGAGTTTGATAATTCTTTACCTAGTTTGTAATCCCTCACACCAAAAATTATACTGACCTTGGATGTGTTGTTCGAAATTCTATGTATGCATATTCGAAGTTTTTCAACTTGTGTTCATAAGAAATTGTGACCAACCAAAAAAATAACCATTTCATATGCCTCGTGTTAGCTATGAACACAACCCAGTTCAAAGTAATTGTTAAGAATTAGAATACTCATCCGTTAAATCAGTTCATCAATGATCCACTAAGACTGACTTCAATTATATCATGCCATTGGGATTAACCTATCTAACTTTTCTTATTAATCTATACACCTCCTAATACATATTATTACAGCACAGCTGTAGTCCAAACTACGCATTATATATATTATGCCTGTGGATAGAACTATAAACGAATAGTGGTTCTACTTTAATTTCAACATGGAATATGTTAACCGACAGACAAACTGGAGTATGTCAAATTTCCAGAATCAGATTTCCAGCAGATAACAGCAACCTTGTTTAGAACATCGTCAACGCTAGGAAATATGCGCATAACATAACCTTACGGTAATGATCCAATTATATACTACACATAAATCTTATAGTTTCGTATCTCATCCGTCAACACTAAAATTTCATGTGATTTTTTTAGACTTCAGAAGTATGAAGAGAAAATTCCATTTACAACTAAATGGGCCTTAAAGGTTATAAAAACAATGGTCTAATATAAAGTCATGAATATTTTCAGCCAGTTCTGAAGTTTCAAAGTGTCGGTAAGCAATAGGCATCCGCCACTTCATCGTAACGAAGAGACTCAATAACTGATAAGTAAAACCTCACTGCTTATATGCAAAGTTTTCAACTTAAAAAGTTGAAACACTTTCATATTTATCAAGTGAATTCATAATGGAAGCTTTAAATGCTAAATGTTCAAATCTGGAATAGTCCAAAAGAAACTTCAACTACAAATATCATAAATAACTCTTCAACTTTAATGGAGGTTTCTAGCACCTTTGATCGTGCAGTATGAAGCGAAAATTACTAAAATAAATCGCAAGTCTCTTCAAGAGAAGGCTCTACTACTCATTTTATACTAAAAGTGAGTTGAAAAATTTGAAATGCTTCTGACAAGAAAAGATACTGATCACAAATTTTCATTAGTGGAACTTTTCAATAAAATTAGAGATCAGAAGCCCAACATTTTTAGACAACAAACAATATATAAATAGAATTTCCTAGACTGTAACACAATGTTGGCGAACTGCCAATTCATTAGTACGACACGAAATAAAACAATATGAAACGAAACAAAACACCTGAATTTTGCACAATTTGATAGAATAAAACAATGTTGGTATCCTACAACAACAAAGCGCAATAAGATGTGTACTAATACAATAATATTGTAAACGATATTCACAATCTATTCATGATTTCAGCCCTTGGGGTGAATTATAAGTTAAAGACATCGTTTGCAAAATATCATCAAAGTAGAGAAATAAACAACAAAATAAAACGATGCCGGGACTGGTAAATTTAAGAGATAGATATGCATATGGACTTCAGAAGCCTGAAACGTTACCGGAGCACTTAAAAAGTGCCAATTTCAACCACACTTTAGATGAAGCATTTAATTTTATGGGATGAATAAATTAATAACTTGATGAAATGAAAACGAATTTTAGATGACAATAGAGAATTATGACACAAAGAATAGGAAAAATAAATAAATAATGGCCAAAAAATAATTTGAAAGACTCCGTACCGCTGTCATTTTACAGTTTCCAAACCTCTCTCACCCTCCTCCCGGAAGAGCAGCAATTTTTTCATAGACCAAACTGTGTGAAATATTCTAAAATGAAAAAAAAAAGTACAAATAGCACAAAATGAAAGGACAAAGAAATACAAATATTACAAAATAAAAAGACGAAAAATACAAATACTACAAAATAAAAACAAATAAAAAAAAGTAGACAGTAATATTGTTAATATCGAAGCAAAACGGATAGACATCAACTATTGTTTCAGCTTGCAAAAGTATTACATAAGAACCACAGATACTAAATGTTAAATTATCAGCATTGCCTATCAAAGAAAGACTGCAAAAAAATTGCAAGGCAGTTTTTTGACAGCGATCCTGCATAAATGATTAACAGTGCGTCATATTCATAAAATGATTCAACCCTGAAAAAAGTTTCACTAAGCCAATTAGTCTTGCGCATTAGTTCCGATGTTTTCATTTGTCTACAGCTTTTAGTTTTTGCATTTCACTAATGAAAAAAAAAGTCATTAAGTAAACCAAAAAGGCTAATTGCCAAATACATAATACTAAATATCCTTAACTAACTGAGACCCGTTACTATTTGCTGAATGCCTAAACCTTCTCCAACAACAAATTTGCAGTTGAACGACGAAATTAATTACGGATCCAATCAAACTCTAGCCAATAAATGGAAGATGTTACCTCGCTTAAAGGCATGTTCGAAAAAAATTTGTGTTCTGTTTGTTTACACAAAAAAGCAAGGAAAACAAAATTTCGAAAACATCAAGAAAATACGAAAAATCCACCTAGCTAGAAAAGTATTTGTTTTTAAAATTATGAAAGTTTCTGCCCAGTCTCACTGCTGACTTAAATTGGTAAATAATGACAATATATAACGAAGCTGGATGGTATAACTACATCGAAGTTTACCGTATTGTAGAAAGTGAAATTTATGAGCAGAAAAGTTATTCGGCAAAGGATAACCACTTCGGTGGTTGCGTAGCACGAGGTGTTGTCAGATACTTCGAACAATCAGGTTCACGTTGACGACGACTTGTTGAATGCTGAAGAAAACAAATGAAAGCCAGTACTGAGATAAGGGAAAAAGTATTTCTTGCGCAGATATGACAAATATTACCAGATGAGACAAACAGATGCATGAATAAACATTTTGTAAACAAAATCACTTACTCGGCTGGGCTCATCTACTGAACAGCTACTACTTCGCCTCTCTTTGCGACCAGAATCGTTCATGAATTTTTTGAACATATCCTGAAACAGGCAAAAATAGTAAAACCATAAGGTAACGAAATTTTTATAATGAAATTCTCCGCGAAATCAAACTTCGTTATCGGAATTCGGCTCTAGAGATGACAGACGCGCAACGGATGAACTCCTTAGTATTGAAATTTTGGGCCCATGTACTGGTTCTTTCTGCCAAGCTGGAGGTTCTCGTTTTGCACTAGAAGCTGCTGCTTCTAATCGTGCACGTGTACTAAAAAGCAAGTAAAAACAATTCAGAAAAACTGAAAATAATTCCTACAAACAACCTTCCAAAATCCGAACAGAATCTGATCACGATTACACTTACGCATAGACCACATGACGAACGTCCGTACTGGGGTCATAATTATCTTTTAAACGCATCGTCAAGTCATACACCTCGTCTGTATCCAACGCCTCTTTTTCATGTAAAGCAGTGAGATGAAATACCCAAGCGTTTTGAAAATTATTTTGCAAGATATCTTGCCGATGCTTTTGCAGGAAAAGTCGCTGGAAAATATGCCGAACTTTTAATAAACAATTATACAAAATTCAAATCATCGATAAATATAACAAGCTATGGAAAATGATCTGTGCAAAAAAAAAAACTGTAATTAAAAGCATCGAAATACACTTACGCAAGTGCGATATGTGTGACAACGACCAAGTGGCTTGTGATTAAGATTGAGAAGAAAAATACTCCACAACGACATAAAATCCTTCTCAACACGTGACAAATCGAGAAAATCTTCAATCTGCTAAAAAGAAATAACAACGAGTGAGATGTTTATATACTCAAGCATTAAAAATTTTGTAAACTTTGCATAAAATAGCATTAAAACAGGCTGCAATACTTGCTCTGATAATGAATTCTCGTAACCATTCTTGATCCGTCTGCTTCGTTGATATTTGCGTGCATTTCATTAAAGGATGCCTGCTGCGGAAACCGAAATATGCCCTACAAATTACTTACCATGTTAATAAAAATTATGGAAATGAAGTATTTTATTCAAGCAAGAAATACATGCACTTTATTTTATTTACGCCGGAAGAAATGTTTAAAAATAACGAGCTTACGCATTATTTCCCTTTGTAGCACGTCTTTCTCGATCAGCTTGCATGAAAAAAATGCTAAGATCCTTTGGCATTTTACGAATAGCTCTTGCTTCAACTCTGAAACAATGATGAACTGCTCTCTAGATTCAAAAAAATGTTTGAAAAGGTGAAAAAACTAACTTGTGAACAATGTAAGTGAGGCGATCACTGGGAATACAATGTTGTGGTATAACTCTATTACGAGAAGTTGTGTACTGCCGAACCAATGAACCTTCATACGAGCCGTCGAAATGTTTGCGAACGAACACATCAATGAAAACCGGTGCACCGTTATTTATAACAGCTGTCTGCCGTGCATCACCCTACACAAGCATTTAATATAAATTAATCCAACTTATATTAAATTAATTTAATATAGCTTAGATGCAACAAAACATGAAATTACCCAAATCAAAAATGCAAATTTCTTTTAATAGTTATGAGTATTGTGACAAGAGAATGAAGAAAATATCCAACATAGCGTTCAATAACCTTATTTAAAAATTGTTATAAAAAAAATCAAGAACGCACTCTGTATACTATGTCAAGTCGTGGGTAACTTGTTCTCATGTGAAGTAGCAAAGCAAACATATCAGGAAATGTTCCAAGGCAGAAAAAACATTTGTTGGCCGGAGAAACAAAGCGTGTAACGATTCCATTACCATCCGGTTCGGGATATCCTTCATAATGCAGTTCGGGAACTGTAACCTGAAAATAGCAGACATATTGCTTGGATTATCAGATATGAAAGCTAAATAATTAAATTTACAAAAAGATTCCTGAAAGATATTAAAAACGGTTACTTTATCGTCGGGAGCAACAGATTTGGGCGGCACAATTTTAGAACATTTCTCAAATTTGGATGCTAAACTATCAACCATAGCAGCCAAGGGTTTATCTCGACGTGGAACATCCAAACGATATTTAGTAGGCGATGATGGAAATGACTTTGGTGAAGATTTAGGTGAAGTCAGAGGTTTGGAAAATAATCGTCCATTCAAAACCTTTCCTGGAGAAACTTCTTTCAACGGAGAACAATGTCCTGAAATTGTTTCATGTATACAACAGAATATTATTTCCTAAAAATGAAATAATATACTCTTCAATTCCAAAAAGAAAAAAAGAAAAAAAGAAAAAAAAAAAAAAAAAAAAAAAAAACTGACTTCTACCACCATTTACAGCAGTTTCAACGTTAGCATTTGAATTCAGCAGCTCACTTTTTACCAAATCTGATGAAGTTTCGGAACAAAGTAGATGCTTGCTTTCCGGAAAACTAGTATTCGGTTCGTCATTGTATCTCGTAATAAAGCGATAGCTATAAAACATAAACAGACAGTATACAAATTTATGTAACATAGACATACAGTCCAGCTACCAAAAAATGAAATAAAGCATACCATATTTGCTTAGGAAATTTTAGCGACATTTCTCGCTTGAACCGTGATTTCATATACTCTTCAAAACCCTGAAAGATAAATGTTTTAAAATATGCAACACTTTCGTGTTGAATAATTTAAATAGAATGAGTGCAAAAGAGATCTTTATTAGAATAAAGTGGACTACACTGTCATCTCTTTGAAGTCCGGTTTCTGCTGATGCAAAGCTATGTATGGATTCCTTTGCTGACATCTCACTGTTTTGATGACAACGGTCTATACAGCCTGTTGAAACAGATGTGGCGAAACCTAAATTAATTTATATCTGGAGGCATAGTTCTACTTCACTTCAAAAAAAAAAAAAAAAGATAATAGTCCAATTTTACAAAATCACACACAAGTATGCCATGAAGATTTAATTATGTACGTACTTGAACAACTTCTTGTTTCATCATCGTCTTCTGATGAACTCGATTCCCCACTATTATCTGGCACAATCGACATGCGTACGAATGGGCTCATATGCATTTTCTGAATGTCAACAACTGTCATTTAATATGTTCCCCGGTCCTTGCAAAGGATTTATCAGTCAATAGTAAAAAATGAAGAAAATGCGGAAGATGTTACCTTCCCTAAATCGATAAGTTTCTTCGTCAAATTTTTCTCCGAACGCCACCTGTCATCTAAACTAAGAAAAGAATCCGGGCTGAAAAAATTTGGACACAGTTTTTATCATAATCATATGCAAACTGTGAAAGTAGTAAAAAACACAATATCAAAAGCAAAGGTTCTTCTAAAAAAGAATGAAGACTAACATCAGGGTAATGCTACCATGGCCGTATATTAAACCGTCAGACGTTTCGCCTTTTGCAACAGAAGATATGCAACGTGCACCATACATCGTTATTGAACCTTCACTATTCTTTAATTTATCAGGCGAAGAAAGGCAGCTTATACGTCGGGTAACCTTAAATAATGAAAAGAATAAAACATCAATAAACCGTCAGATTTTTCGCTATGTCACACTTAATTCTTTCATCTACACAGTTACTATACCAAAGCCTAGTATTTTGGCTCACAGCGACCTTCACTGTTTGAAATTTCGATCGATTATTCGCTTTCTCGATCCATTATGATATTTTACTATATTTTACTTCCTTTGAAGTAACAATAAGCCACACAAAACTGCGATAAAAGTATTTCCACAACTTCTCGGTACACTTACATGGACGACTGTTTTCGAATCTTTGTCTATCAGTCTTGATGGAACACTTCTTAATGATTTTCCTCCTAAAATATGAGCGAATTCTTCTCCCGAAAACGTAACACGAATGATCACATAATCATTCCTGCAAAACAAACTGATACTTCAAAAATGATACTGAATAAGTGAATGTAGTCAGTCCTATTAAACTTGTCCCAAATATCTTTGTTACTCCAAATTACTTCATCAGTCAACCCAAAAAATGTACCTTTGTCTTCCACTGCAATGCAACGGGCAACCAATAGATAATGGTAAATCTATTGCAACAGGTTCACCACGAGTATTTATCTGCATTTGTACTGTAGCAGAAGGAAGTCGCATCTAGATAACTTTACTTCACATTTCTGCATATGATAATTTCTCATAACAGACTAATATTGTAATTAACAACATAAAATGCAACAAAAAAAAATGCACTGAGAAAAATAAAACTTACGATCTCGCTAAAGACACCATCGACTTCACTTGAAAGGTACACCGTAATAACGGCATGTCGATTACCTACAAATAATTGTCATTACTGCTCATTTCATAATTACAAAGAGATGGAAATACCAACAAAAATTACCTGGTAATTCTTTGTTTCGAACATCAATAAATTTGATCATTGAGGTAGCATGTGAGCAATTAACATGTCTTCTTGTTTCCTTTGACAAAGCATCCTTACCACTCCCTTTTCTGCTATCTTCATCCTGCTTTAAGACACGCACCAAATATGAGACAGCTGCTGAACCTGATGATTTTGTTTTTGGATTCTGAAACATAACTTATATATGCATCACAAGCATCTAAACCGAAAGGTGGAAAAGAAATCAGGGGGAAAATTTAAACAGTATATAAAAATTTGAGAATGAGTATGCAGCAAAAAAAAGGAAAGAAAATAGTACATGGAAAGTCGACACCTTTTTTAATATTTCATTCCTCCGCCTGATTGCATGAAGTATATTCATGAGATTTTCGTGTTTGCGTAACTTCGCCTTCATTCCAGTTTTTCCAATAGCAGCTGGTGGACAAAGGGGAGGCATGCAATCATCTCCTACTGCTATCGACTGCTACAATAATACAAATACAATGAACACATACTTAGAATGGGGAAGTTATAACTTCCATAAATGGACTGAAAATTTTTCGTAGTTATTATAAGAGCGAAAATTAATTAAAAATAATCTCTCAACTTACAGCAGATCGTCTCATGTATATCAAATTTCTTTTTAAGAAAGGCCTATATACTGGTCTAGCGCTACCAACTTGCGTATCCGGCAGTGACATGTATCGATAAAGTCGAATAGCCTCTGCAAAAAAATTTTCGAATGTTTTAAAGAAGTAAATTTTGCATTAGCAATGAAGAAAGAAAGAAGAAAATACACTGATAACATTAAAGGCGCAAATAAGCAGCAAGTGATAACGAACTTTTGAAGTGCTGCTCCAAATCGGAATCTGTTTTCTTCTGAGGTTGTCGTTCTGTCAGCGCATCATGTGAAGTGTCCTGCTATCATGAAGCGAATAAAGCAAATGATTTCATACAGACAAATGACCTTTGCGACCTTAATTTTTATAAGAACCTTCCTAAAATGACGGCACATATGATGGCACAGTGTCTTCATAAATTTTGGAGGGACATAAATATCAGGATTCATCTGAATAGTTCTATACAATACCTTAGCCACATTATTCTGTTGCGTAATTTCTTTAATTTCCGATGCAACATTACCAACAACTATTTCCACGCTTTTAATATCATTCTTGCTATGACACAAGCGAGTTCGTTTGGCATTCACAGGTCCTGAGTTACTACTTGCAGTATCACTATCACTATCGTCATCTCTACCGCGACGTCCTTTTTTTCCTGAATCCATTAAAAGTAAGCAATATTAGATAATAATGAAGTTAAATAGATAAAAATAATGGAATCTGCTCACAGACTCACGAAATATTCTATTACTTTGTTTGTCACTCAGACCAAATATGAAAAAATCAACTGCTATAAAACTACAGGTTACTTGCTGCGGCAGTGGATGGTACTGCTGGAAGAGGAGGTATGATAAGTGCTGCTGAGCCCCGCCGCGAGCGTACTGGTGCAAAATCGGGTGTATAGCGAGTCTTCTCTGTCGTTATTCCATTGCTCTGTTGCCTAAAGAACATGTTTAAATCTACTTTCTTATAATTATCTTATAATATCAGCTATGAATCGTTATCAGACTATCAAAACCTTCTAAAAAGAAAGTTTCAGAAGGATAAACTGCTTGCTAAGCATTAATGAGTACAACAAGGCAGCAAGGATAAGCGCTTTCTATATTTATTTCAACAACAAACAGATCACAGCATAAAGCAACTTCCAGAAATGTAGTAAACGTAAAGCAACAAGTAACCTGGTTTTATAGGGTGAAGTTGAAGCGTACGTTCTACAACCACTTGGACTACTTTTCAGCTCTGCTGCAGCCGTACTCCGAGTCTCCGTTCTACGAGGTTCTGTTGGAAGGGTCTCATTTTACTAATTTCCAGTTTGTTAATTCAGAATCATTGCAACAGATTACTTTTAAATAGCAGTGAAATAACACAAAAACCTTACCAGCTTGACATCGAGTGTTCCCCTTCTCAGGGCTCATCGTACCTCGCTGAATTACAACACATTCAGCGACCAATAGGCAGACATACCTGGAACAATCTAGGAATATTTAGAACGATTTATCTATCGGCCCAAGAGAAACGACCAAAAATACTATGAAGTAGGATAATAACTACAAATCTGTGACGTCTACTTAACAACACTCACACAAATTGGTACTATACCTCACGCAACTTTCGTCAAACAGTCATTGCGTAACATCCTCCCACTCATTTCCATGCTATGCAGTATAATGGAAATGGTAAATGCCACCTGCGTTGCGTGCATATTTCGCTTTAGGACCAACGCGCTCGCGTCAAATTTTTGAACGCTTTCTTCCATCGAATTGTTTAAGAAATATCTTGCTACATAAAAAAAGCCAGTTGTTACGTACGCCAGTTATTATGTACGTATATATATGTATATACGTCGATTTGTGTATGTCATTTTATCGTTTGATATAAATATCTACCGTTTTTCATCCTGACTTACTGGTAGCAAAATCGTAAGTGACGATAAAATGCTTTTAGTTTTGAACCGAAAAAGAATTCGGAAAAGCTGGCAAATATCTGGCAAATTGCTAGTAAGCTAAGCATCGCAAAAAATCTGCGTAAGGCTTGTAGTAAAACATGAAAATTCAGTTAAGCATAAGACATTTTTAGTGAATAATTTAGGAGTACAGCTCTCGACATCTCTAGTCTCGGTGCTGAATCTTTCTTCTTAAAGTTGGGTTGTTCCATTGATCTTGATGAGAAGATCAAGACGACTATACATATGATGTCAATATGTATCCAAATTGTATGTAGCTCATAAAGATATTCGCAGGTAACGTCTTATTTCTATTCCTCGTCAAGTTTTCATATGATCAGACCATGAACACAATTAATTACTGTCTTCCAGATTTTTTGAGAGCATTAATTTTAGTTCATTATGAATCAGTGTTGGATTGATCATCACTTATTGCTATTTGTGTTCCATATCATTTCAGTTAGAAGTTATGTGTTAACAGAGTGATTCGGAAAGGGATAGATTGTGTAACACAGTTTAATAGCTTATTTAATTAGAAAAAAAAGTGAGTACATGAGGGTCTGAGATTTATACAACGACGGTCTTTAATCCTGCAGGGTATGTTGTTATTCTTATTTGCCAGCAATTTACAAATCAGCCGATTAACGGATGAGCTGGAATTTGATCAGAATTTTCTTGGGAGCTTATTCAACTTCAATCAATCAGTGGTATGTCTAAGATTTTTTGAAATTGTATGCAGAAAAGTGTTGGTTGTAACTGCGGCACCATAGGATTTGCAAATGGATTTAAACTGAAAGCTATTTTTATAATATCAGACTTTTATTAAAGTAGATAGAAGAACTGGAATACAACATGTTAGAAATTGAAGTTTTAATATTGATAACAGATTTAGTATGTAGGCACCTTTTTATACCACAGAGTTGAGTTTAGTTTCTTATTTCATTAACTATGTCAGAAATAGTCAGGAAACCTTAGAAAGAGTAATATTAATTAAGGGGATATTTACTTCATTTGTCTATGAATTGTCAGAACTGAAAAGTTAAACTAAATTAAAAGGAACGCGTGCTGTGGGAGCTCCGCCTACTGTATTTAATAAATCCTGAAATAAAGAGCTTGAATTTTCATCATTGTTCTAAATCTGTCCCTTTCCAATGTGTATCTTTCCTCAGTTGCCGTGTCGATCTACTATTCATTTCTTAAGGCGACACTCATATGATTTGCTTAACAAAGGAGACGTTCCTTAGTAAGTAACTTCTTAGAAAAGTTGCGAAGTCGAAAAAGGAAGTAGACTTGTCATCTTATACCAGGTGTTTTACACTGAAAACAAATAGTAGTCATGTATTTTTCTTTCCTCCTCTCTTTTCCTCTCCCTCTTTTGTTCAGCTCTGCAAACAAAATGAGGCATTTCCATGGTTTCCTTTTCATTATGCATACCTCTCCACTGCTTCTGCTTCTCAGTCTTTGAACCATTTTACAGATTTTTCCTTCACTATTTGTAGATAAAACAATGCAGTAACCGACTCATTTGTGAGTTGATTGTTGCATTATTTGAGTTTTTCTTTTTGCTTATTAATTGTAAAGTAGGGTTGTTTTATTTATCGAATCGTTTTGGATATTATTGTTTAATAATAATAATGTATAACCTGCCTTTTACTCTCGCTTCTTTCATCATCAGCTACAGATTCCATTTCTGACAATTTTGTCGTGTTATCGCGAGTATCTGATTGCTAAGTAGTTTCAATTGAATCTGTTTACCAAAAAAAAAATTGTGCTTCATGTTTCTTTTTCTAAAGATTCAAGGGAAAACTATACTAAGCATCCATATACTAAAAAAAAAAATTTTTTTTAATGTTGTCTTATACTAATTTCAATATTTTTCACATTAGTAGCAAATAATGGGCACGTCAAAAAGGACATGAAAAATGAATCAGCTGGTTACTCTTCTTTTGCTATTCTGTTTGACCATTTAACAGTACTGCTACAATATGGATGGCATCTGAGCTTTTACCTTTAATAATTTTATATGAAACTTACAAAAATTAGCGAAATAATTAAATATAAACGATCAAATTTTATCAATATTGGGTGTTTTAATGAGAAAACATTCTAACAAAACAGTTGTCTTAAGAACGCGATTCCTCTCGTAGTACCAGACTTAACATGTCAAAAACAAAGCCAAGAACATTTTACATTTTTGTAACACAAATTATAATCATACAAAACTTTAATAATACAAATCACGATACCCTTGTAAACAATTCTCTGAAATTAGTGAAATATCTTCCGTGTTACTATTCCAAGACTGTTGAATTTCCCTAAAAAGTTAACTTTAATTGTAACTCATAGATTTTTCTCCTAGGACAGGCACTTGCTGTATCAGTTCGTTATTTCTTCTGATGTTATCTAAGCTGAATTTATTACTTCAAAAATCGTGCCTGAAACGTTTCGAATGATACCACATGAAAGGAGTTTTTTGCCGAAAAAAATTTTTTTAGTACATGTGCACCTTTGACTCTTTGTGTCTGGTCTCATCAGCTTCGTGCAATAGAAGTGTTCAAAATTTAGTAAGCATTCAAAATTAAATTCGCTGCATATTCTGGAGAGATATGTTCTTTTTCAAAAAGTTAATTTAATAATTGTAAAAAATGAAATTTAAGATCGCTGCCTTAAAAATTTACTTTGGTGAAGCTGCTAATTTACTTCCAATGATTTCTTTTCCTAGACTAAACGTGACTTTGTCAACAACTTGATAAGTTTTACTTTCGAAATCATGGCACGGTTTTGATTTCGAAAAAATTTTTATTCACAGCATTCACTGTCATTAAACAGTACGGGATTATTTACTTTTCAGATTGATGATTTTCGGCTAAATCGGTTTAGTCGGATTTCGGTTTTATGGTACAGATTAAGTTCACATAATGCTTTTATCTCTAATATTTGAAATTTCACCAAAGCAAATTACAGCTATCCAATAGTATGAAAGGAAATTTTATTAGAAATGAGGTTGGAAAAAATATTCCTAGCTAGTGCAACGAGTAAAACTCTTGGTATATTCATGTAAATATGACATCCTCAAAATCTTTCCCGCATTCTTTTAACAGTTTTTCTCATTCAGATTCAGGATGAAACTTAAAAATCTTTCAAGTTATTCTTTTACTATCTTTGGTATTATTCATGAAGTGCACAAAATCTAACTCTAACGCAATGCAAAAGTAGCAGAGCCTGTTCATTTTTGAGCAAAGTAGGACACTGTGATCTCCTAGTGAACTCAGAAGAAGATTTCATTCAGTCTGTTTCTGCGAATACCGTTGGCAGTTTGAATTGCATGTTTACATGCTTTATCGGTTAACACGGCGATGTCTCTTGCATAGCCTAGTCTAGGCAGACAATCCATGCCTTTTTAAGTCATCATAAAATCTCTTTCTAGAGTTTGGTTTCGTGAGGCTGTTGTTGTAAAAGGTTTGAAAATAATTCACATCTGCGAAAAATTAGTAATAACGAACAAAATATTATTTCCTTCACTCTCCAGCTCTTTTCGATATTTCTCTTTTTTTCTTGTTGCTTATTTTCACATTTTTTCGTGATGAGAAAGATTTACGGAAGCAAAACGAAAGCATTGGTTGTAGTAAATGTTAATAAGTACTAGACAGAAATTAATTTATCTGCATTATTAAAGCAAATACTGATTTCTTCGAAGGGACCACAAGCGTATTGTAACAGTCAATGAAAACGATGCAAAATAAAAATAAAAGATATAAATTAGATGAATTTCTTAAATGTTAACTTTTTGACTGTTGATAGCTCAAATAATTAAGTGCGGAGAACTTGCTAACAAATAGGAATGACAACTCGACTTACAAAGTGATTATTTTCGCCAAGATCATACACAATAGAGTATACAAAATCGTTATGATAATAGAAATGGAATCCAAATTTCAATAACGATGTCATCTTCACACACTATATAGAGATGGAAGAAACACGATTCCGCATAGTTGTGTTGGGTCCTGGAAAAGTGGGAAAGACATCAATCATTCGACGTTATCTTCATGGAACTTTCGATGAAAAATACAGAGAAACGGTTGAAGATCTTTATTCGAGAGATTTCAATATACAGGTTTTTGTTAGTTTGAATTAGTGCTTATTTGATGGAGCTTTCTATTGTCCCAGTTATCTTATGAATTTTCTCCTATTGTCTCGTTTTTTCAAGCAATAAAAATCATTATGTTGAAACAGGGGAAAGAAATATCACTGGAAATTCTGGATACAAATTTCGGCTATCCTGGCATGCGCAAAATTGCAATAGCATCCGCCAGTGCATTCATGCTTGTATTTTCTGTCAATGATGTGGCTAGTTTCAAGCAGGTCCTTATAATTTCAGTTGGAATTCATGTGAGAGATTTTGCACAAGAAACAGATCTGAAAAAAATTTTTGTCATATTCAGAAATCCCCAAAGTCATAAATTCAGATGAGTGACATATGGTCACAAATTGTGCAGCAACGAAAAGATGCTCGAACTCTTCCAACTGTTGTTGTTGGGAACAAGTGCGATTCATCTCCTCAAAAAGTACTTAAATTAATAGCATCAATCAGTAATATTATGTTTCCGAAATGTTTTCAATAATTTAAAAAAAAAATTCAAAATAAAAATCGTAATATCAATTTAGTATTACTCAGGTTTTTGACGGAAATGATTTAGGTCTATGAAGCAACAGTTCAAGCATGGATGCAACATTTAAATTTCAATATAAGTTATGTCGAATCCTCTGCAAAAATGAACTATAACACAGTGAAAATATTCCGAAATTTTCTGGATCAAAGTGGTTTATTGGATGAAGAAGTAAGCTAGAGATGACAACTCTTCTTATTTTGTCAAAATATTTCTGAAGTTGTGGTTCAGAACATTTCAATATTTTTTTTATGAACTTCAATATTTATTTATACTGAATCGTTGAATAATTTGTAAACCCTTACGCTCACATTATGCTTGTCTATGATTTTGTAAAATTATTGAGCATCTATCTGAAATACATTTTATTATTCGTTCAATTTCCAGCAAAATGTTGCTTGTCAATCTGTTTATATTCTCTTCCTTTCCTTACCTTCCACTTTCTTTGATGTATCAGAATTCATAAAATGTCAATATTTGCAGAAATTTTTTCAGAAGTGGATGAAGCAACAAAAATTGAGATCTCGTGAGATTTCGCCAACAAAGAAGCTTAATCGAAATTGGTCATTGCGGGTAAGTACTATTGCCTTATTACCTAACTGTATAAGGTAAATGCTAAGAGCAATTTCTACCCTTTTTAGAATAGAGGCATACTTTTTAAAGCAGTATTATCCTACAAATTCCAATTAAGATTTTGGGTTCCGAAAATTTCAAAAATCGGATGGAGAAAATATTTCAGACGAAGTAAATAGAGTGACGATGCGCCTTATTTGTAAGAAAAAAAATTTTTTAATTCTGAATTGTCCAATCACGAAAACTCTGAAATTCCTATGAGTATCAAAGAACTGTTTTTTAATTTGCAAAATTTTTTTCAAAGTGTTCTACACTTTAAACGAATAATTTTTCGAAATTATAATAATCTACCGCAGTATATAAGTACCTTAGTATATAAGTCCATGAAGTTGAATATCGTTTGACAAGAAAACTTAATGCATGCTAATTACAGGTTAGCAAAGCTAAAGACAATCCAAAAGGTCTCAATCGGTCGGGCAGTCTTTTACGACGCTCCAAGCACCAGTCACTGAGAATGAAATACCACGATAAAGAAGTACCATTAGGTGAAAGTGATTGTAAGATATCATAGTTAGAAGTATATTTCTCCGGGTTATTGTAAATATAATCACTGTTAATTGATGTTTATGTAAAATTCTTTAAATGACAAATCGGTTTTGAAATCCATTGAGATGTAGCAGTTTTGGTTGTATTGCCTTATTTATATCTTCTCAATAAAATGAAGTGCTGAAAGAAATACATCGCGGTAATTTTACAGAAGAAATTTTGTTTTTATTATTTGCTTGATTATCTTTCTATTATCTTTGAGAGTGACAGTTTTGTTCTTAGGGCAAATATTCCCCCTCTCCTCGCACTCCCTCCCTCACCCCATGAAATTTGTTACTCCTTTCTCAAAATTCAAGCTAACGAGTCGATTTTTTTTCTTTTGATTTTATGCTTATCACTGCTTTATTAATAGTCCTAACAGTATCACAAAAATTACGAGTTTTTTTAGTACACCATTTCCATTAGGACTGTCTTTAATGCAAATAAGACAGTTCTTGGAATTAATTAGCAAATTTTGCTTAGTTCTGATCACAATTTCCCAATGCTATGTGTATATAAGACAACATAAATACATTCTGACATTTTAAAATATGACCGTTCGTTAGGTAAACATATTGTACATATTGAATTCCTTTTCAAATTCCTTTGTCCATATTTTAAGAAAATTCATTTTTCTTCTGTAAACTAATTTTCAAGTGCCGAGCAGTACTTCTCTAATCTGTTCTGGAACTGCAACGTGCCAGCAACATTGACAACTGCTTATTTACAAAACTGGTAAACTGTATAAAACTTCATTACGCAAATTGCTCTGAACATCAAAAGTACTCAGATAGTTGTGATATGATATCCTTCCAAAACCGTAAGAAAAATGAAAATTTGTAGGATGGTAGCTTATTATAACAAGGGAAACTGAGAGTGCTGAATGAATAAATGTAAGCAATTTTCCTAGGAGAAAGTTTGACGATACCAATAGTAAGAAGTAAGAAAAGATCGAAAAGCTGAAAAATCCTTGACTGATTCCTTTCTTGATTAATTTCAGAAGTCTGAAGAGCATAATTTAAAAACTTGAAACATACGATAGTTCTGAAATAACCGGTTTTGTTGCTTGAAACTAATTTAAATCAAACGCTTGTAGGAATTCAGTCAGGATCGTATAATCACTTCTATGCTACAGCAAATTTTTGAATAACAACAGAAAAAGAGTTGCAGATATTTAATTTAGAGTTTCCAGTAATCCATTTTTGAAGAATTTATGTTGTGATATTGGCAACTAAATGGGTGGATTTACATAACTGGATTCATTAATGCTGCAAAAGAAATGAGTTTCTTTTTTAGCTGAGTCAAAGCAATAATATTAAGGTGTTCAACTTATCAGTTACTTGAAAAAGGTAAAGTATTACCTAATAAGATAAGCTGCAGTAAATTAATAGTAAAATTTTTTTGATATCAGATAGTATAATTGATCATTCATATTTATGGAAAGAAAAATTTCCTGCTGTAGTCGACAATTCATTTTTTAAATAGTTTCATGCAATACGAGAGAGAGGAGAGAAAATTAATGGTCGTTTTTTATGGTTTTTCGTAGCAGCATTTAATCTTAAGGGTCTGTGGGATAATGGAGGAAGGCATGGATGAACAGCGTACTGATATTGCTACCGTCTTGTTGTATGATGAACGGTGTTGCACGGGATGTTTCATTTGTAAGGTCACCGTATTGTGCTATATCGCATTCGATCAAACGTGCGTCATCTTAATGCCCGCCTCTAAATAGGCTCATACAGGATTTTGAATGACCAATAACCTTTGGGAACTGAAAGGAATAATATTATTGTACTAGGTTTATTACTATCATCTACATTGAGGATATAATTTTTTCTATGCAAATAACAATAATGCACTGATGATCTGTGTAAGGATATAACAACCAGTTGTCATATTTTAAGTTTATCCCACATATTCTTAACTTACCTTTCTACAGATCAATCTTCCAAGCAACAAACACAGAAGGCCTAATACACATCTAACCCACTGGCCGACATCTGCAAGCGACGAAGGAGCTTATCTTACATGTCGCTTGCAGGGATGCGAGTGTAATGCCTCTGTTCATAAAGGTGTATGTATGTCACTTGCTGTGTGCATTGCTGTAACTTGCTGTGTGCCCTTCGTCTCCGCAAACGTAGTAGCGACGGAGACAGCGACCACGACGATAACGAAGGAGGAGGACAGTGCGGAGCTGCTGCGCACCATCATCTCATCACATCACACAACATACACTTTGTCTAAGGGCTGTCACCGTGTGCGGTCATGTGGTCCTCGCCTTTACTGTTGTCCCTCACGAGCGTTTTTGGCCTACTTGGTCTAGCGTTGATCACATTGGCTTTGGCTACTGACTCATGGACCGACTATCAGGTATCATTTTTCTCCACTTTATTATGATTTTCTGCCGATCCATTTTGTTTTGCTAGCAAAAATTAATTCCTAATGACAGTAACCTTTGTTTTCAGTTCCTTAACGCAACTCTACTAACATTGTTGAATCAATTCTTACCATTTTTATGTTAGTGAACTACTAAGAAATGCAGCAAGAATGTCAATTAACTAACACTAATATAATCAAGAGGTGATGTGAACTGTTATAGTGATCTGCAAATGAATTTTTTCCGAGAAAAAGTTAAGTAACAAACAAATCTGCTCTATTTAATCTAACTTGAAACTTCATTACTACACTTTAGCCATAGTTCTTCTAACATAATTCGAGATTATAAGGTTCTTATAAGAACGACAATCGTTTGTGCTATTTTCATAATGTCCATCTGCTTTTGCTACTATCAAATTAATAACAGTTTTATGCTTAGCTATAAGATTGTTTATGTCTCATTCATAGGAAAGAGCATTCGAAACTTCCCATTAATTGGTATGGCAAAAAAAAAAAATTCGTATTTAGAAGTTTCAGTGCTATACCTTCCATTCAAGAACTGAGATTCTGGATTCTTTCCTGAGTACCCAAAAATTGTAAAATAAAATCATCTTTACAGTTCAATACTAACGTCTTCAAAAGCGCGCTTTAACCAATTTAAAATAACAGCGAGCACTTTGCTCATATATCAAAATGGCTGAAATGTAGTTTGTTGTTTAGTAAAAATAATGTGTCATTCTTGAGCTCTTTACTTTTTTACTGATCGAAAAAAGATAATCAGAAAGAGTTATCCCTTAACTCAGAAAGAGTTTTCTCTTAACTGGAAATGTTTAATGAGAAATTTTTAATCTTTATTTCTATTTCCTCTAAATCGCTGACCATCCTCTCATCCACTCTTTAATGTCATTCCTTTATAGATGTTACCACCAAATCATCACTACACCATGCGTGGAAATAGAAGTCAATGACTTTCATATTTTTTTCAACAACAGCTAAATTCTGCAGCATCCAAAAATCCTACAAATTAATTTTCCAAATAGTCCACCATCGGAAAATTTGTCGGCTTCCGATGAATCGCCATCTCTCCAGTTAATATATGTCTCTTGATTTTACTCGAACCGGGAGCAGTCTGAGCATACAACTTCCACGACAGATGAATAGGATTGCTGGAATGTTCTAAATCTCCAAATTACCATGTAAAAATTAGCAGCTATCCTTGCAAGAATTGGTGTGTTCAACAAAAAATCTTACTTTTGTTCATTCAGTACTGCACCAAATGTTGGATTTTGATACTGACAGTATATGAAACTATTTTCAAGATGTTGCAGGATAACAATACTGTCTATAAAATTTAATTCTTTAGAAATTGAAATTTCTTTCAAAATGAACTTCACATTGAAACGGCTACTAATTAGTAGTGTAAAAAATTTCCGAAAGCAAATCTGTATATTCATTGTGATTTTATGATCATATCATTCTTTGGATAATAGAATCTACAAAGACTGTCTTGTAAATTCCTTATTATCGCTTTTGTTATGATTCATGAAAAAGTGTTTTGTTTGCATAATATTTGAAGATGGCGTGTGGAGCTTAAGTTTTCGAGTAAAATGTCAACTTTCAGTCAAAGCTAGTTTCCTGATTTTAATTGAAATTGATAAAACTATGAGTTTTTTAGAATTAATAACTTAAAATTACCATGCTCTATTTTTGTTGTTTTTTAATGATTTTAAAAAATAACAATTTGACATCTTTTTGATACACCAATTTTTTTTACTTTTCTTAAGAAATCGTACAAAACTTTTGTATAAATTTCTATTAAAAATCTAAAAATTTCTACATTAATACAAACAATATTTGTTTTACATTCATAATGAGCACTTTAAATAAAATGCTTAAGCAGAAAGGCTTTAGCAAGTTCTCAAAAATTTTTTTAAGAATTGATCAACAACTTCGTAATAACTATTTAAAATGAAGGAAAAAAGGATTTAATTAAGACTATTTCAAGAGTGCGAAAGAATTTTGTTGAATTTCGAGCTAAAATTCTACTGCCGAAATTTTGGTGGCAGTAACATGCCATCCAAAGTGGAAAATGCTACAGTGTAGTTAGCTGTACAGTTAAACGTTTAAAACGTGAAAAAGTCGGCATTTCTTAAATTGCTTACATTGAAGAGAGTAAGGGTTGTTGATCAACACTAAACTAGGATGATTGAATTTTGTAGGAATTGCGATAGCGACATTAACAGCCATTATTTTATTCACTAAGTTAGTAATTTTTTTATATTATTTCAGGTAAATCGACGAGAAATAATTAATGCTATGAATCGAAATACGGAGTTAAATGCTCGTTTGAAAGACAACGTTGTAAGGAATCCATTGTACTTTTCACGCAGTTACGGTCTCTTCCTTGTATGCTTTTCTGATGCCGTACCTTCAGGTAATGAATTGGTTCAGTTTATGCATGCTTAATGGAAAGTTAATCTGCTGAACTTGGTATTTTTAACAACAGAGTTTCATAAGTAACCATCAATTTTAATTGATGATAACTCATCTCGGTATTACCAAGATGAACTTTAAATCATTAATCTCTGCGACTACTTTTGACTGGTCATT